CATAAAAGCATCCTGATATTAATCCTTTTTAAAGGATTATATAATATATATTAATATTATATAAAATATAGATATTTTATAATTTCTCTCTTAAAATTCAGCTTTAATTCATGGTTTCATTTTCCTGACCATTTACAAAAAAAAAAAAAGGACACTAGGACCTTTTTATTATTATTGAAATGAATCATGTGCTGGGGGGTAAGAAAAAAAGAAAAGAAAAAGAAAGTACTAGGCTGAAGCTGAAAAAGAATAAATGTGAATTTTAGAAACAAATTTGTATTCTATATACTGTAACACTTTAGTTTAGTGTGGGGAATCTGTGGTTTGCCAGGTATGTTGGATTCCAATTAAGATTGTAGTTAGTTGTGTATGCTCCATCTTATTTGTTTTGCTTTTAAAAGAATCTGGAAGTTCAGTCATGTTCTAATTTGCATTCTTCTAAAGTGACTTTTATCCTCAGGAGAGAATTGCCTTGTTGCACAAAGTGACACATATACTAATAAATAAATATATGCATTCCAGCATTTATGACAACTGGTGACAGTGGTTTAAAAATATCAGTGTATTGGAACCATGAATCTCATGAACATAACTCTTCTATTCAGTTGTTCAGCCTGAAAGCATATAGGGCACAAAAGGTCATGGGGACTGGTATGTACCTATCTGCCATGTCCCCACTCCAACTGGAAGTCCTGCAAACCTTTGCATGTTCAACAGAGTTCCTTATCAGAGTTGCCAACCATGCTGTAAACAGATTCAGTGGAATGTGAACACATTGAGGTCTGCTTATCTGCATCCCCATATCACCCTCACAAGTTTGAGCCCTAGATGCATTCAGGCTGAACACCTGAATGGTTTTGTTTTTGTTTGTTTGTTGTTGTTGTTTTTGTGATACCAGATGGTTGTAAGGCAGGGAACTGTTATTTTTTATGATTCCATCATTACCTTACTCTAAAATGTTCCTTCCTCACAAACAGCATAGGGGTTGGGGTGTACATCGCAGCACAGAAGTTTCCTTGGCTTTCTCTTTAGGGATCTAAGGTGGATTGCGATCTCTTATGAAAATAGAATGATCCAAGTTTCCTCTATTTATTTGTGTTTTTTTCCATTGAAACATTTTATATCTTGCCATTTTAAAAGCCCTCAGGGCAGCTTGAGAAAGATTTAAAAAGTGATTACATGCTAGATATAGAAATAAAGCAGCAGCCAATTGCTATTAAAATAAAACAGCGATATAATAATAGATGGCAATTAATAACAATATATCAGACAAAATAAAATTATGCTGTTGTTACATGCAGTCAAGCCATATGTGATAAACAGTAACCCTAATAGAGTTTGTTAAGCTTTGCAAGGTATTCAAAGAGTAGTTTACTACTGCTGCTCCCAATGCGTTTCTCGATCCATTCCACAATACTAGTTCTAACAAACTTAAAGTAAAACAAATGGCAACTGATTGCAGTTAAAAAATCTAAGTGAACATGATCTGGCATCTAAAACATAACAAAGATGTGATTAGGTGAATATATCTATATAGAGAATTCCACAGTTTGGACACCTGTGCAAATAAGGCTGCTCTCTAGTAACCATCTTCTAGAAGGCAAAGTCACACTCAGAAAGACTTCTGAAGATTGTCGCACTTGTTCAACAGGTTCACTTGGATGAAGTAAGTCCGTCAGGTATATAAACCCAAGGCTGTTTAGGATATTTATGGGTCAGAATCAACATTGAATTGTCCCATGGTATGTGCTCTATTGGCAAGTTTTGCAGTACAATATTAAAAATTAGGCCTGGACTCGAGGGACGGCAGAAGTTTTGAAAGCCAAGAGGTTTTGGATATCTTTTTATATGAACCACATGACAAATTTCTTCTTTGAATCCGAGAAGAGTTTCAAAAGCAATTTACTAAAATTAGGGTCAAAGAGGAAAAGATAATTCAGAACACCTTAGATGCTCTAAAAGTAGTTCTTTGGATTCCAGCCTGTGTCTTTTAGGATTCCCCGTGATTACTGTTAAAAGAAATCTTAACAGTCTCTCTTTCTCTCCCTCTCTTATGCTCTGCTGTATGAAATGATGACAGTAGATGGAATGCAAAAAGGTGTAAGATTATTACAGCCTTATCAGAGAAACTTGGCACCTCTAAGTGTTAGAGCTTCCAAGTCATTGTATTTTACAAATGTTAAATCTGCACTATTTCATTCATAAGGTTAGAAAGCCCAAATGTTACATGGTGGCATTATGATTTTGCAGTCTTCCCTTCCTTCAGTTAAAAAAATGTCAACAATGACTAAACAGTAGTAAATGCCTGTTGTTCTATTTACAAGTATCTCAGATTGGATAGATATATATTTATTTTCATTCTCCCCAGTGGAGTACTTAGAGAAGTCCCCAAAAGAGCACGTAAATGCATGTTTTGTTCCCTCAGAAGAATGGCTTAGCTGTTCCAATGAAAAACAAAGGCTTAAATAAAGACAAAATTAGAGGCACTTATGTGACAAGCTTGAAGGAGAGCAAGTAGCATCTTTGCTCTATACTCGTATACATATCCTTTATATACTTTTGCAAGCAAGCCTGATGATTATGTAAAATAATAAATATTAGTATGCAGCTATAGCAAAGTATACATTTGCTGCTTGAATGAAAACAAAAGATTTTGGTAAGTGTGCTTTTTTTTTTAGTAGCTGCTCTTCTGCTCACAAAGTTTCCTTACTCTTTTCTATAGCTTTTGGAATAATTGTTTCTAATAGTGCCATGTTGTCTTGTCTGAAATCTCAGGGTAGAATTCAAACCACTGCTATTTAGAAATGCATCGCATTGACAACAGTTGATCTTATTTTTGAGTAAAGTCAAGAGATTGCTATATATTTTATTTTGTGGGTATATTTTATTTCAGATCATTGTAGGTCCATGGTTTATGGTAGGTTTCATTATTTCAGACTTCATTGTTCCAAAATCTTTTGTAATTATGAAAATGGAATTGTTTTGCAGCTGAAGTTGCTGTGTGCCAAAGGTTAAAGAAAGGCACATTGAAACTGAAGTTAATGAGGCTTTTTGAACTTATTTATATTTAAGTTATATTTTGTTCTATTTGCCAGCAGGTTTCTGTTGTCGCTTCCTTAGAATTTGATCCTAATGTATTTTAGAACAAGGAACATAATGAGGAATATGGTTCTGTAAATCTTTTGGATAGTCTAAATTCTGGAAATCAGTTTAGTTGACAAGGTGGATGAATTGCATACTATGCTTGATAACATATATATTGTTCTGTATTTAGCATACCAAACTGCAATGTTTGGTTTTAAGTTTGAACTCTGAAACTTTTACAAAATTTCTGACTGAATAAGTTTCTACTATCTATATTTAACATACTATGATTCCATCGGATTATCTGAAAGTGTGGAGGGTAGGTGGAAGTAAGGACACTACTTAGCAGTTGAAAAAAAATAACTATTTAAAAAATACTTTCCCCCTTTATAAAGCAGAATGTGTTGAAAAACAACACCTCTGCGTTTGTACAAAGGTTGGACAGTAGATGGGACACCACATAAAATCACAGTTTACTAGCTATCAACCAGCTGTACATTTAGGAAAAGCACTGATACGCATCTGCAGGATGAAAGTTATATTTGGATTTTATTTTTATTTTATTTTATTGCAAAGGATTTTCCAGCTCATGGGTCATATTTGACCAACTGCTTTCAGAGAGAGACATGGCACTTTGTTGAGCTATTTAAGAATCAAAAAGACTGTCTTAATTTAAAACAAGGAGCCTTTGTTTTAGTTGGTGACTGTCTTGTGAAATTTTTCAGTTCTCAGCGGGTTAACCAGGGAACAGGGGCAGAGTCATAATTGGCCTATTTAGAGTGTTTTGCATGTGAATAGTGTGTTAGTGAAGCATTACTAAGTCTGTTGTGAGTGACATGGTGATTAGAATTTAGATTAGGGAAAACACATTCTGTACTTTATCAAGTACAGTAATTAGTTCAGTCAGTAAAAGTTGATTACAAGTAACGATAAAGTTAGATTTTTGGTACTTAATTTTAAAATTTCTTTATTAAATGGAAAATTTCTTCATCATATAAATGGTAGTATCTGCACCTGTTTTATTGCATATCAGAAAAATTAAAAGAACAATGTGTTCAATGCAGAGTATAATCAGGGGATTTATATATTATGGGTAAGTTTCAATGTAGTTATAGCAGTAGCATTTCTGGGAAATGTGAGTCTTTGTTTTTTCCTTGTGCTCAGATACCATTTCTTCTAACTATTGTCAGTTCATTTTGTGGATGTTCACTTTCTTTCTTATTAATAGAGAGAATGGTCTTGATGTATTTTGATGCATCTTCTCTTCATCGTAATAGTTCTCTCAACCCTCCTCTCTAAATAATTTAGCAAAATAGTAGCTTATTTTGCTGTGTCTAATTTTATTTGCACATCTTAATCATGGATTGTCTCTCTGATTTAACAGATTTTATATTGTAGGTAACCACTTTCTACTTTTTCTACATGGATATGTTTACACTTTTCCATTGTGAAGTTAATAAATTTATCTGTATGACTAAATTGTGTTGTAAATTATGTCTGCTAATAATAGCAGCCACGTAAAATTTGACATAGACAAACACAGTACATTTCTTTAATTCTGAATAAGTAGATGAAGGGAGGGGGGGTTGAATCTTTCCTTAATGTATCTCCGAAAAAGTTCATGTAGTCCACTGTTGGGTTTTTTTGAGCAGAGAGATTAGAAAGCTTTTAAAACAGTAACACATTAATTCAACAATAAGGTTAATTTTAAGTACGCAGAGCATACCAAAAGGAAACTTTTATCCAAACTATTTTGTAATATCTGAATGTAAAGTTTGCAAACGTATTTTTGATAGACAATCAATTGAGAGTTAAATAACATTTATTTTAAAAACTTATTCTATTTGAATCCATTTAGAAAGACTAGCAGGGAGAAAGTTGGATGTAACAATGCTTATTTTTCAAAAATCTTTTAGCAAAGTCTCCTTGGAGGTGACATGGAAATGGGCAACCCAGGCGCACTCTCACCCACCAAACCTGGCTCTCAGTACTATCAGTATTCTAGCAATAACCCACGGAGGAGGCCTCTGCACAGTACCTCTGTGGGTGAGTTACTTCATACTCCTTTTTTTCTCCACATTTCTGAAAGGAATTGAATTTCCATCTCATAGTGATTAATAAGAAATGTTAATCTCATTGCTAACTCAACGTAATTGTGAGGTTATGAGCCTGCTACAAACATACGTCTTAACAGCCTCACTGTCTTCTTTCAGAAGTACAAACAAAGAAGGTTCGAAAGGTCCCTCCAGGTTTACCATCTTCAGTAAGTACTTCTTGCCCCTCATAGTATTTGCACTTGCGTTAGTTCTTTTGACTAAAAGGAATGGTTGTTGGACTTGTTTTATGAATGATACTGATTCCTATTCTAAGCATTAATTATATATCCAGAGGTAACATGACAAGTGTACGAAACGTTTTCTTGTGACTAAAAGAATAAGAAATCAGTGATGAGTATTGTCTTCCACACCTCCGTTAAGGCAGCTCTGGAAAAGTGCCCTGAGTTTGGATAGTTTTGCCAGTATCCAGCTCCAGATAGAATACGCATTAGTTTCACGTGCTGGTTTACTTCTTTGTCAGTATTATGATGATTTCTGGATTTGCATGTTAAAAGAGATTTGTGGAGAGGATTTATGAAACATTTACATGGGCCTGAGCCCAGAATAGAAAGAGGACATCTTCATTTCCCACTGAAGTTTTTGAATTAGAGCTGTAAATGTATGTGCACCAATAGCTGTCTCTGTATATGTGATGCCAGGTGTCAACCAGTTGATTCCAGGTGTTATCAGAGGAATTATGGGCTATGGTAATAAATTAAGGTGTAGTTAATGCTCTCCTTATCTTGTTTCCCTGCTTTTAGGAAATGTTGTGTGTATGTGCATCTCTAGAATTCTGTTAAATATATTAAAATTAATTACTAGTATGTATTCAAATTGTTTTTGCAAGCAAAACTAGATGTTCATTCTCAAACTATGTGGTCTTTGCTTCATTCAGCAAATAACAGTAACCTATGATTTGTGAAGGGAAGTTGGCTACTCATTACTCTAAAAAGTAAAAGATAAAAGATGTGAAAATTGTAGTGATGAAGTGTGACTGATTTTTACAATGGTACTTTATTGATTTATGTCTAAGTTAACCATAATATTAAATTATAACTTAGGGACATGACTAGTTTCATGTTGGTGCTATTAGAATTTGTATCATGGAGTTGGGTGTGGCAGTGGCAGTGCAACCTCTCCTACATCAGAGCAATGACACATAAGTTTTCAGAATTATTTTGCAATTCCATATATAGATGCAGTTATAAATTAAATAGGATATTATATAAATACAAACAAAACCGTGTATTGCAAAACAACTATTTTTACTTCTATTTCTACTATTCATTTGTAAAGTGGAAAAATGACTCAGGAAACCTATCTAATAATTACGAGAAGGAATATTTAGCCACTTTTTCTGTTTTTCTGCTATTAATGCTTTCAGTGCAAAAACATTTTAGTCCTCCTAAGTTTGTTATTACTGACTATGTACCATTCATCAGTTTATTTATTTATTTATTATTCAGTTTATAAATCACCTTACTTCTATGGATGGGATCCAAGAAAGCTAGAATGAATGAAAAAAAATGAATAAAATCAATTTTAAAATCATACCACAGTTTAAAAACATACGAATAAATAAAAATAGAAGGCACACTCATTCTGTAACAAGAGATGACAGTTGCCAAAGGCACAGTTAAATAGATGAAATCAATGTATTTAAGTGAATAAACAATTATGTATATATAAACCTTTATGCATTCTGTTGCTGAACAATTCAGGAGTAAAAATTGAAAGTTGACTGCAACGTATAACACAAAAATCTGAGTTAATATGTGGGGTGTTTTCTTCAAATTGTTTTGACCTTAAAGAAATAATTAATTATACTGCAAGCATTAGTACAGGGATTGGGTAAAGGATGTTTGAAATAACCATTGGATTTAATTTACTTTAAACTCCAGCTTCACATAACTTTTATAACAACTGCAAATGCTGTGCATTTTACAGCTGTTTATATTTTGAATCCAGCTAAGCAATGAATCATTGATAATGTTGAATATAGTAGTCTTTAGAATATGGTAAACCTTTATAATTGTCTAATATGACAAAATTGCTTTATCTACAAAAATCCTCCTAACTACGTACATCTTGAGTAATCAAAAGATACATGGCCATATAGTTTTTTAAGAAAAAGAAACCCTCAAGTATTTGACTTCAAGAATAGATAGCATATATTCTTCAGTATCATTAACACCTATTTCTTCCCATATTCATTCACTTTATAGAACTTGTTTTGATTCGAAAATATTTTTGCATAGAAAGCTAATTACTTGCTAATCAATTAAATGGCTATAACTAAAAGAAAATGATGCTATAATGATGAAAGAGGCTGATGTTCCATTAACAAATATTGAACACTTAGTGTGATCGTCAGTAAAGTATTGGAGAATTTTCGGAAGAGCCAGTAAGAAAATGGTTACATGTTCTTCATTAAGTTTTGTTTTGTTTTGTTTTCCTTATAGGACATGTGAGGTATATGGTTGTTTCCTTGAGCTGAAAACTGTACAAAGAAAAGAAAATAGAATTTCTTCGATTTCTAGCAATCATTATTCTTTGATCTTTAAATCTCATAGTCTGTTTAGTTTTTTTTAATGTACTGAAAAATTGTTTTAAAACTGTAGTTTACTTTAAATACATAGCGTCTTATAATATATTGCGGATTAACTATGTTAGTCTATTGCAACAGATATGGCAATTTTTACACTAACAGATTTAGTAGACCTTGACCTTTTATAGACATAACAGCCTTCTTTCTCAGTTGGAGGAATTGCAATTTGAGGATTGTATGTCCATGAAAACAGGTGTCATTATATACCTGCTAGTCTTAAAGATACCTCATGTGTCTTTTTTTTTTATTGTGGGATACAATCTCAAGCATACATTAGGACCTAGAGATCCCAGTGTTATCCTCCATAATCGTAGCTGAGCCAACAATTATTCACCTTCATATGATATATCAAAATAAGCCATGGCAAATATTTTAGAATAATAAAATTAATGTAAACAGGTAAGCAGCAGAGGTTTTTGGAAAGAATACTCTATTCTATGAAAGAGCAAAATATAGTTAAATAATACATCTTGTCACATTATGGTAGATTATGCTATTATTTTGGATAAACAGTATTCATTTATAAATTGGCTAAACAGATTATACTGTATTTAGCTGATAGAATGAAAATATTCTCTTTCTATTAAAACCGGGTATTAAACTGTCACTGAATATTCATACAATTGTCTATAAAGGACTTCAGAAATTCTGTTAATGCACAGATGTCTATAACAAATGTCCATAAACATATAAGAAATGAGAGCAACAAATGAGACAGACAAACATAGCAATATTTCCCCAAAATATAGGTTATTTATTTGCTTAAAAAATATACTAAGAATTAAACCTATTGCTCTGTCTTAGTATTAAGCAGATCCAGTGTTAGGCAGATAGCTCCCTCCTTCCTATGTAAGTAAAAGCACTTTAGTTCTTTGACACAATGACAGAAATCCATTAATACATAACAAGAATAGGTCCATTAAAAGTGTGGCTTTAGTGACTCATCTCCTCCCTAAGTTCCACTGATTTTATTCAATGGGCAGTAGCTGCAGTTGTGGTTACTACTGGATTTCAGCCACTAACACCATGGACAAAACTTTTATTTGGGTGTTTGGGGTTTCATGGAGAAAAGATTTAGATCGACCTATCTATCTATCGATCGATCGATAGATCGATCTATCGATCTGTTATTCTAAAATACTTGCCATGGCTTATTTAATCTATCTAAATCAGTATAAATAAAATAGTATGCCCATGCAATGTTGCAAAGGTTAGATCTGAGTCTTGAGACACATATCCGTTAGACCATAGTCCATAACACCATAGTCAATGGTGTTACGTATTATGTGCCATCAAGTTGGTTCTTCCGTATGGCAGCCCTATTAGGGTTTCCAAGATATGCGAGCTGTTTTGGCGGTGATTTTACTAGTGCCACCTCCAGTGAGTTTCCATGACTGAGTGGGGATTTAAAGCCATGTCTCTTGAGTGCCAGTATTACACTCTGTTCATTACACTGTCTCTCATTCAAAGGTCTGCATTTATTTTCCCATTGATTCACTACATGCAACATTACCAAAGTACAATAACATCAGAAGCACTCTAATTTTTTTTCAGGACTGTCCTCCTCTGTATAGACAATAAATTGTTTTATTGCTAGTCAGACTTTCTAGACTGGGGTTCTTAGATGTTGGTCTAATTCTCATCACCAGCAACAATTCTCATATCCAGCAACCTACCAATGTTCGGATCTGTAATACCACAACATCTGGGAAAGTCAAAATGGGAAAGGCTGTGCTTGTTGGCTACTGAGCACAGTTTTAGAAATAATATTCATTGGTAAAAAAAAACCACAGCTTTCAAAAATCCTTGATATTTCTATACACTGAAATTAATCACTGACTTCCTTCACACATAGCAGCTTAAGTGCGTGATGTACTGTTTCAGTGGTGTTATCTCGTGTATAACATATAAACACAGAAACTAAAATGATTATTTTGCATGTTATTTTTCGTGCGTCTTTGCTAGCCAGATTCTCTCATAACACTGCACCATGAGATGAAACATGTTCAGAAGGAGTTAACCTTTCCTGCCTTGTGCATTTCATGAACTTGACCTAAAATCGTATCAGTCTGAGGATACCAGCCCTATTAATTTTAGTGGGCAACATTTTGTGGATTGTTTACTAGATGTTTCAGAGAGCTGCTTGTAATGTAATAACTCTGAGTATACAGTATAAGCTAATTGTGTTGAAAAATACTAATTTGCCAACATTAAGTGACATGGAAATTCCAGCTCTGACAGTTTATATTGTGAGTCAATTTGTTATTTCCATTAAAATGCTATCAGAGCAATGTAAGAAACCGCCATCTTGCATGGCCCTTCTACCACTTAATGTACACATCAGAGGACATGTGAATTTGTCTCTGAATAACCAGCAGGTACATAGTTAACTGAGCTGTTTAAACATACTGGCAGTGGGGATGGGCGTAAAGATAAGGCTAGGGAGTCCTAGTTTATCTTGCTTGAGTATGGTGCTGCTTGGCTGTTTATGCAAGCAGGGGCAACAAAACAACTGCAGATCTTCCATCCATGGTTTGTTTATTGTGGCTTATGAGGTGA